TATATATATATATATATATATATATATATATATATATATAGTTTATAATAAAAAAAGATATCATTCCTAATATATATTAGGAATGATATCTTTTTTTATTATAAACTAATCAGTGTATATCAATTATTATTGAGAATAATTAATTTGATTTATTTTTAATCTTTTTATATTGTCGCCGCTTTCATTTCAAGAGTATTATTTTAAGTCTATATTTCTTTTTCAATGTAATATAGTAAAATTTCCAATGAGCCAATGATCTTCTACTTCTAATTATTATTTAAATTCTGCTTGATGTACCTTACGAACGAACCCTTACATCATCATGAAATAAATTGTGTCATCAAAAGAAATTTTTTGAAAATAGATAAGGTTTTAAAAATGGTAAATGCGAGCTCATAAATTTCATATTTCACATTTATTGCGAGTTCAATTTTATAATTAGTAATAATTTATTTTATACATAAATCACAAAGCAAAATAAAGTTATAATCACAAAGTCTCAGCAAATACAGCAACAAATGTCGTTTAATTTTAGAGTAATATTATTAGCAAGTGATTGCTGCGTGGCATCGAAGAATACCAGTAAAAAAGTAAAAACTTAAGCAAATTCAGTTGATATAAAATACCAAACAAAAATAGAAAAACAATAACTAAAAGACTTTCCGTAATAACTGTAATTGATCAAAAGGTATCTGACATAACCTTCTCGATATTTTTGTTGACGAAATACATGTACTTAAAGTTGAGTTTACGATAAGACTTGATAAGTTATTTAACTTTTTAGCCAAAAAGGGCGAAACTTTTAAAGAAATAGGATTTGCCGGTGTTAAACCAAACAAGTTTGTTATTGTTTTGGATCTTTTAGATTAGTACTTTATTTCTTGCTAATTTTTTTATATAATATTTGTGTTGTTGGAATGCATTGCAAAAAACTATTTTCAAACTTTATTGCAAGTTGCCACAAAAATCCGAAAAATCGCTCCAAAAATTCCAATTCTCATGATGTTTTTTCCAAGAAACCAATTTTCGCAGTTATGCAATTGCATTATTATACCAATAATGGCGATTTGATTTCATGTTTTACGCAATTAATGAATTAGAATTTTTTTCTCTTATTTTTCTATTAGTTTTGAATAATAATTAATTTTAAATTATTTTTAGAATTATTATTAAACTTTAATTTGGAAACTTTTTTTGGAGAATTGGATTTTTTTATCTTTAAATTGGCAATTTTTATTTTATGAGCATTTGGGAAAACAAATGCTCATAAAATAAAAATTGCCAATTTGAAAAAAAATGTATATATATATATATATATATATATATATATATATATATATATATATATATATATATATATATATATATATATATATATATACACACGCACACACACATGACTGTTTAAAATGACTATTACTAAAATATGAAAATGCACATACTAAATTTTCATAAAATCATTTAAATTTTAAATAAGTGTTTAAAATATTGTTATTGTTTACGACATGCTCCTTTACTTGCTTTGTTGATGAATTTATGACATAAACTTTTTTTTTTTTTTTTTTGCTTCACTTATTTAAATTACTTTTATCTACTGGTGGTTAAAAACCTCTTTATCATAAATGATTTAATTTTTTATTTTATTATTGTTTTAATAAAATTACTTAGTATATTATTTTCATAATGATATAAAAATATATAATAATTGCTATATTTAATTGAGGACATTTTTTCTTTTAAATGTATTTAGTCACTTTTTTTTCTTCCTTTAAATCTTTTTAGTCACTTTTTTTTTTCCTTTAAGTTTTTTTATTTATTTTCTCACAAGTTTTCACTGCAAATGTAATAAATGATTTATGGGTAAATTTAAAATTTTCTATAATAGGATTCTTAAAAATATAAATGTTTAGTAAAATCTTGTTTTATGTAACAGTAATTTTTCTAGCAGTATTTCATAAAACAATTGTCTTCTTAGTATCAAGTATCAAGTTTAAATAGTAAAAAATTTGCTCACGATTGTTAATAAAAGTTATTAAATAACTCATTTTTATAGTTTTTCAAATGATAAAAAAATATTTTATATCTCTTCTCATTAAAATTAAAGATATAAAATTATTATTTAAAATTTTTGTATGTAACTGAGAACATTTTTTCTACCAACTGTACTTTTTTTTACTTTTTTTTATTTAATCTTTTAATTTATGTTTTTCGTAGCTTTTTCTTGTCGATGAAAAGCCATTACAATGAATTAAATATTTTTAAATAAATTTTAAACAGATTATCCTGGTCATATTTAAAAAAAATAATTTAAAGACATATCCGGGAAAATCCGGGAATAAAAATGCTTTTTGTCAATTTAAGAATATCTCATGTGTTGGAAAAGAAAATTTTTGCAGGCATTCTTCTATATAAAAGTAAAGTATTTTAATACTTAAATTGAGTATATAAATTAAAATAAACAAGAATTATAGCCAAAATAATTAAAGTGATCTCTAAGTGGTTTTTGATAAACGCTTTTGTAGTTAATAAATGACATCAAACAAAAAAGCTTATTCAAAAAACTTGAGTTATAGATGTTATGTTTAGGTTCTCCTTTTTGCAATTAATTTTTATGTAGATCGATGCTTTTATGTACAAACATTTATAAAACATAAAATAACCAAATAAAAATAATAATAACGGAATAAAAATAACAATAAGTAAATGCTTTAAAACTTGTATTTGATTTATTTTAAAACAAAACAAAAAAGATCAAAGTTTTCCCTTGCAGAACTGGTGTCTTGAAAGTTGTTTTGAGTTATTGCTTATTCTATTTCTGTTGTAAGTTATAAACACAACATTCTATAAGATTTGAAATACCTAAAAATTTTTAAAATTGTACCATGTCATAAATATTATATGTTATAAATATTGTTTTAAAACACTTTTACATTAAAAAAAAGAGTGGCCTATGAGTTTATCAATGAGTTTATCAAAAACTATATAAAACTATATAGTATGACTATATATCTAGTTATTTCATTGCTATTAGTGTGATTTCCTCGCAATCTCCTACTTCTGTTTTTTAAAAATATATTGCTTTGCATAATTTATGGATGATCCTATAACAATAAATGTTTTTTTGCTAATATCTCAATAAATAGATTGATTTGGTAATTTTAATTGACACAAAACTCATTTTATATTTTAAATAAACATACATTTGTTTAGTTTCAATTATAAAGAACTATTACTCAGGTGAAAATTTAAACAGAGAAAAAAAATAAAAATTTTGACCATCCAAAAAAAACAATTGACCGTCAACTCCATGTGTTAGCCGGTCAAATTGGCCGCTCGTCTTTGATTTCTTATTTTCCATGCTGCACACAAACACACGCACACATAAATATGTGTGCGTGTAAAACAATCAAGAAGTTTGATTTTATATAAAAAACAAAAAACTAATTTTAAATGATGAGATTTTATAAACTGTAAATGAACAATCAATAGTTTGATTCAAAAGATCAAAAAAAAAAAAAAAGTTGCATACAATGTTTATTTTTTGGTGAAACTAGTGATGACAATGTGAATAAAAAAAAAAAAAAGTTTTGGCTTTTTTTCTTATGAACTTCATGAAAAAATAAGTAATAATAAAGATGATAATTTGAGATATATTTATATAGATTCTTTAACTGAGATACTATTTTGACATCTGTAAAAAGAAAGAAAATCTCTAGCTTTTTTTTGTCATTTTACTACATAGCATAAGAATTGTATATTACTCTTTATTTAAGCTGAATACTACACAACATTTTTTCAACAAATGACAATCATAAACACAAGATAATTTAGTATAACCCTCCTTTCTGTGTAAATGTTGTAACCCAAATAAATGTTTTTTGAACCTCATTGACCTCCACTTTCTAGTTAACCATAGACTTAGCAAAATATTTAATAGAAACACAATCAAAATAAACTATTCCCGCATGCCTAACATAAAATCCATTATCAACTCTCACAATAAAAGCATTTTACATAAGGAGGCAAAAATTTATGAAATTAAATGCAACTGCATTGACAAATTTTAATGTCCAATAAACCATTGATTTTCCAATAACATTGTTTATCAGGCCACCATTTGTTCAAACAATCCAAAATATAAAGAAAAAGTGTAGTCTTTTTCTTTATATTTCGGATTGTTTGAACAAATTTGAAAAATCATCTTTTAAAGTTCGGTAGGCAAACCGCTTAAAATCCTTTAATGCAATTAGATATAAGAATGAGACAGAGTTATCTAAAAAAGTACGGAAATTAAAAGAAAAAAACTTTACACCTTTGTCAGATGGAAGATTGTTGAACAATGCAAACCATACAACCCAGCATCAAGAGGTTGTAAACTCTGTTTAAACAAGAAGTTTCAAATTTTGATATATAAAGGAGATAACCTACTTAATACAACCAGTGAAATAATCTTGAAGTGTAGGCACAAAAAAAAAACTCCTTATTTCCTCATTTAATACCGAAGATTGATCCTGGTTGGTTTACGTTAGGTTTACGCCAAGTTATACTTTTAAAACCTTCAAAATTTTATTTCTATGGTGTCATTAGAACTCAATTTTAATTGTAATTTTAACGTTTATTTTTAATTTTGTAATTTTTTTTTTGTAAGTTGATTAAGGTGCCCCAAGAAGTCCTTACGGTCTTATTACAGAGCACTGCGGAAGAGCATTTAATAGGAAGTTCACGCCTCCTTCCCAACCGATGTCGCAAAACTTGCCAAGAGGAGGGGTTTGAACCACGGATCTTACGTTTCTGAAGCAAGTGCGCTACCACTGCGCCACGGCTGCTCAAAAGTTATATATAGTAATATATATATATATATATATATATATATATATATATATATATATATATATATATATATATATATATATATATAATATATATATAAAACAATTAATAGATAATAAGTTTTGAATAATACAATAAAATATTATTGAAAGATTAAAAAACAATGTTACATTTTTGCTGCATCTCCACCATGTTCACAAAGTACACCTAAACCAAAAGCAGCATTACTTCTGACTTCTTCATCAGAATCTTGCAAAAATTGAACTAACCACGGTGTTAAAGGTTGAACATAAATTCCTATTGATACACCCATCGCTTGTATGATCTTTTAATAAAAATTATAAAATGATTGAAAATATTGCAAATATTTAAAATGTAAACCATTAAAACATTTATTATGAAAAAATAAATAAACCTCAGCAATTGTTCCAGCAGCAAAAGACTTCTCTGCCACTGTGCTATTTTTTTTCTGAAAATAAAAAATAAATTTTTTTATTTTATCTTTTAATCTAAACAATTTACTTAAAACATTTAAAAGTAAAAATCTGAAATTTAAAAACGATTACAAAATTAAAAAAAAATTTTTTTTAGTAATAAATAGAATTTTCTGAGTTAGTTGTAATAAATTTTATTTTCTTAGTTAATTTAAATTCTGTTTAAATGTAAAAAAATTTAAATGTGAATTCTGAGTTAATTTTTTTTAATTTTATTTTTTTATATTTTATTTAAATGTGCAAAAAGTGGATGGTATTCCATTATACACTTGAAATATGATAAAAAATTGAACCTTTTATATATTTATTTGCAACTTGTAATACTTGATTGTTGCAATTAATAAATTTATGAAAATTTATAGCTGGTGTCAACAATTGACAATTAAATTTGAAAATTTATTATTTAACTTCAAAAGGAAAAGAGATGCGCATAAGACCTACTTACTTAACTCAATTTTAAACAGATTCTGTGTTTAACCTCTTCACACTAATAGATGAAATAACTATATGCAAAACTATAACTATAGAAACTGATATTTGGACAATGATCTCAAGTAATCTTCAATCTATTAGTCATAATCTATAGTCTATACTATATAGTTTTATACTTTCCGTAGTCTAAATGAACATATTACTCTAATTATTTACATTAAAAAATTTTAAGAGGTGTGGCCATTATATGAAACCCTAATAAGGTTTCTTGTAAGCCATTAATGAATTCATGGGCCACTCTTCTGCTCTTTGTACCAAAATGACACAAAGAAACCTTTCCTGAACATTTGCTGAAAGCAGTTTATAAGTACCGTGTCACAATCTTATAAATGTTGTTTTAAAACAACATTTATAAGATTGTGACACGGTGCAATTTTAAAATTTTTTTGGTATTTCAAATCTCATAGAATGTTGTGTTTATAACTTACAACAGAAATAGAATATGCAATAACTTATAACAACTTTCAAGACACCAGTTCTGGCACACATTAAAGGGACATCTTATTTAGGGTTACATTATTTTGTTTATATCATACTTTTCAATTTTAATAACATAAAAATACTTTTTATTTATTAGAAAATTTAAAAGAAAACATCTACTAATATCACAATACACATGTATAAACATGTGTATACATATACTGTGAGTTACAAGGTCAAAATATGTTTCAAAACAGATTCTTAGTAAAAAGTTTGCTTAAAACGGGAAAATTTTTATATTCCTGTAAATACAATCAAGTATGTTGTAACCTTTTAGTAAGTAACAAGTAAACTTGTAGTAACAAGTAAGCTTGTAGTAAGTAACAAGTAAGCTTGTAGTAAGTAACAAGTAAGCTTGTAGTAAGTAACAAGTAAGCTTGTAGTAAGTAACAAGTAAGCTTGTAGTAAGTAACAAGTAAGCTTGTAGTAAGTAACAAGTAAGCTTGTAGTAAGTAACAAGTAAGCTTGTAGTAAGTAACAAGTAAGCTTGTAGTAAGTAACAAGTAAGCTTGTAGTAAATAACAAGTAAGCTTGTAGTAAAAAGTAAGTTTGTAGTAAGTAACAAGTAAGCTTGTAGTAAGTAACAAGTAAGCTTGTAGTAAGTAACAAGTAAGCTTGTAGTAAGTAACAAGTAAGCTTGTAGTAAGTAACAAGTAAGCTTGATCAAAAACCTATTCAATTACATAAAAAAATACATATTTGTTTTTTTATTCATATGTTTAATTATATTTCTAAAAAATTTATTTTCATTTCAAAATTTTACTTAGTTTTATGTATAGTTAACATCTGACTTTTATTGCTGACATTTTTATCTCATTAATTTCATTTTTATTGCTGACATTTTTACCTCATTAATTTCATATTAAATTTTTGTTTAAATTATCACACAATAAAATAAATTCAAACATTACTTACAGATTTCTTCATAATTTCTGGAAGAATGATGTTAAAATACTTTTTAAAATTTTCTCCACCAATAGCTTGAGCAAATGAAGGTAAAAGATCTCCTGCCTGCTCAACCAAAATGTGATCAAGTTCAGCAAGAGAGTCATCTTCATCTACAGAAACATGATTAGGTTCCTCATCATCTAAAAACTGCTGACAGTGCGTCTTAAAACAAAAATTATTGAGAAAAAATACTTTAAGAATTTTATATATATATATATATATATATATATATATATATATATATATATATATATATATATATATATATATATATATATATGTATATATATATATATATATATATATATATATATCAGTGGCAGATTGAGGTTTAGTGCCATGAGGGGGAGGCATAGGAATGAGTAGCGACATAGGTTGGAGGTAGCACATTACCCCTAGAAATGGTTTTTCGAGAATTGCATTTGTGATAAATATATTTTTTCCATGCTTTTATGTACCTTTTATCATAACTATTAAGTACGTCTAAGAAACTAAACAATCTAAAATTTGAGTTTACTTTGGTTAACAATTATCGTTGAAAAAAAATAATTTAAAGATATACTTACACAATACATATTACTGAAAGCAAGCATTAAGAAAGAAATTTACTCTCCTGCTAATTTATACAATTTTTTTTCTGCGAGAACATCATAAAGACTAGTGACATTCAAAAGGCATTGTATAGATGTCATACAGACGTCTGTGCCCGCTGGGTTGAAGCAAAATGATTATCGATTCTCTCAGCAAGTTCACATTCAATAAAAATTAATGTCAAAGCAAAAAGACGTTGTTTTGTCATTGTTGATTACAGATAATTTTTGATCTTTGGTCTGCTGAAACTTCTCTGATCATAAACATATGTAAAAAGGAAGAGTCAAGTTGATTTTGTAGGGCATAGACAAGTAGGGAAAACATGTTATCTATTTCTCTATTGAGAATGAATGTACGCCGTTTATTTATAGTTCAGTCGCCACTGCTGGAGATATTGATGCATACACATCTTTGAAAGAGTCAACGTGAGTAGGTTTTAAGTGGGGAGGGGATGCAATATAGGTTTTTGCCAAAAAAATTTGAAACATATAAAAACAAATCTAAATTGCTTCACAATGTTGAAATCAGTTAATTTAAAACTTTTTGTTTTTCTCCTTTTTACAGTTGTTTAAATACACCAAGTCACAGTTGTTTTAATACACCAAACTATGTAAAAAATCCTTTGAATGTGCACATAGAGATATTTTCAAAACAAAACGTTTCTATTTTGTTTCCTGCCACAATCGCAGGCAAAACTGTAAATGGTTTGTTGTTGCCTAGTTTTCTGTTTCTATTTAAATAAATGCAGAACTCTGTAATGAGAAATTTATACTTTAGTTGACTGACTAAGTAAGCACGAGGAGGGGGGCAGCTCGCCCCCTCCCCACACTCTATGCTGAATCTGCCACTGATATATATATATATATATATATATATATATATATATATATATATATATATATATATATATATATATATATATATATATATATGAAATTAGTACATGAATGTATTAAATATAGAATTATATAATTAAACAAATTAAATTAAAAATTGTTACCTTTCCTTTTAACAAATTTAAAATTGAATTAGCAAGATCATCTGCATATTGTTGTTCAATAAAAAGATCTCCTTTTAAATCTTTGATCAAATCATTAAGTACTTCAACAACAGCAATTACCACTGACCGATCATCATCTTTATTAATTACATTCAAAGCAGTTGGAAAGCTTCTGGCAATATACATATTGACTATTGTAAAAAATAAGAATATGTCAACATTCCATAACAAAAATTATTTACAAAAAAAGTTTTTTAATCATTGATGTAAATTAAAATAAAACTTATAATTAAAAACCTAAAATTAGATATTTTAAAAGAAAAAAAAAGAGAAAAGGTTAGTTGTTAGTTTCTTGTAAAGTTAGTAGCTAAAAATAATAAACTAAAATTAGTTAGCTAAAATTAGTTAGCTAAAAAGAATAAATTAAAAAATGAACAAACTTTAAACTTAAAAGCAAACTATAAACTTAAAATGTTAGTCAACTAATTTTAGTTAGAAAAAATAATTTCTTAGAATAGTTGCTTTTACCATAAGTTTTAAACTTTAAAATAATTATTATTAGATGAATAGAATAATTATATAATTGCTTTATCACAATGGAATAAATAATATTTTAAACACCTGTTTTAAGTGTAGCTAAGATTTGTTTACAACAAATTAATGAGTAATATAACATACCAGTAGACAAATCTGAAACTTGGTTTTCTTTAAGATGCTTATAAATTACTGATGTAAGTCGACAACAACCTGTTACTGATGCTTTTCTTACATTTTCATGAGGATACTATAAAAGTAATTTATAAAAATGAAAAAAATTTAACTTGAAAAAAAAATTGAAATAAAATTTCTACTTACATCAACTAATAAAAATATTTCTTTGAAAATTTCTTCCATATAGGACATCATTGGTTTTCTAAAGTAAATCTTTAATAGATCAGATTATGAAATGTCACATTAAAAAATACATACTTTTATTATACATTTATATACACATACAGTGAGCAAAAAAACTATCATTCCACACATCAAATCAAAATTCAATAAAAAATTAATATTTAAAATAAAACAAAAAAAACAAAAAAATAAATAATTTAAAATAAATAAAAAAACAAAATATATATAAAAAAATAACAAAAAATAGACACTATATTAATTATGCAACATTTTATTGAAACTAGATAAATGCAATAAAATTATCTGTCCAAAACAAAAAAAATTTCTTTTAAAAATCAATTATCATTTAAATTAGTATTTTGTCGGCTCTCCCTTTGCTTTAATGACAGCAACGTATGCAACGTGTATGCATAGAATTAACTAACTTTTCCATTACATCACAGCTGACTCCCTCCCACACCTCCCGCATTATACTTTTCAATTCATTTTTGTTCAATGGGTTCCAATTTTGAATTTTTCTTTCTAAAATACTCCATAAATGTTCAATTGTGTTTAAATCCTGAGAATGAGCAACCCATTCTTTAACTTATTTATACCACTTTCGGCTAAAAAAGCGCTAATAGAACGCTGTATGCTTGGGATCGTTGCCTTGTTGGAACAAGACATTGCCTCCCAAGCCCAGTTGCATGATAGCCCAGTATTATCACTGAGAATGGCCTTATAAACATACTAGTCCATTCTTTCATTGATAAATTGTAAAGTTAAATGTTAAAATTTACTATTGTTCGACCAAAGGACATTATTCCAAAAATTTTGTGGGCGATTCACATACTGTTTAGCCCATTTTAGACGCAACTTTCTATTTATGTCACCGATAAAGGGCTTAGCTTGTGGTGTTTGTTAATGTAATTTTGATTCATGGAGGCAATTTTGGACTGTTTGTGGAGTGATTTCAACTCCTTTTTCTTCTTTCAGATCATTTGAGACCTTCACCGCCAATAATTTTCTATTTTTTTAAATACAACTTTTTATTAAAAAAACATAGGGTAAAAAGTTGTTCTTTGCTGTATTCTGCTCTTTGAAACTTTGTTTACTTATAACTTTTTACTCATATACTCTCTTCAAATGAAATATGCAGCAAAATGTGCAGTAAAGAAAAAATTATATGTGTTATTATCCCATTTTTATTGCCTTATTGTTTTCAGTTAGAAACAAAGTTATTTAACCAATACATTTTTTGCAATATGAAATCTGTTTTTGCGGTATTTGAAAAAATGACGTTATAAATTCTTGTTTGAAAAAAATAAAATAAAATTATAAAAAAAACATTAAGATTAAATGTATTTGAGCTCGTAAGAAAAAAAGCAATTAGAACAATTAAAAGAAGACAGATTTTTTTTCGATTTTACTTCCTTTTTTTTTATTATCTTCTTTTGCATTATTTTTTGTTTTTCAAAAAACTTTGTTCCTTTCCTTTTTTTTCTTCTTTTCTTCATCCTCTTTTTTATACATTTCCAAAACTTTGTCACTTATAAAGATTGCATATTTAAATTTCTTGTATTTTATAATTGTTTTGCGTTTAATTGGTTCTGGAAGTTTGAGCACATCCTGATATAAAGTTGAAGAAACTAGAACTGCTGTTTCATTATGAAATGTTGATGAAAGTATATCAGTCGGCTGTTTTATAACTAATGAGTATAGAACGTAGCAGCCAGGGTGTAGCTCAAAAGTTTATGCAATGGCTTTATATTTTCCTGTATTTTCGATACGTAATGAAAAATAGTTGTTTCCTTATCAATTGGTACACAAGAAGATTTTGGTTTAAGTCTAGATTTACTGCGATGTATATTGCTACCTCACTATCAGCAAACAGTGAACTTCTATTGGAGTTACACAAACTATAAAAACTATGCCTGCTTAATCCTGAATGCTAATAGATACATTATTTGACCATGCTTCAGTTATAAATACATATTTATAAATAGTGTACTTATAAATTATAAAATTTCCACTTGTAACTCTAGTTCAGAAAATTTGACAAATGTTTAAAAAAAAGAACTTAGTAATATTAAATTGCCCCATATTAAACAATATTAAAGTTGCTTTAGGAACAAATTACTCATTTGAGAAAAAAAAGATTGATGGTTGTTTTGAGACAAAAACATCACATAGTTGATGCGTAGTTGATGTTTTTAATGATGGACTTTGAAATACTTTTTTGCTAGTAATTAAATAGCCTTGTTTTGTAAAATTTGTCCTCAAAAGTTAATTGTGCAAAAAAGGAACTTTTTATAAAAAAAAATTAAAAAAAAAAGTTACTCAAAGTTTATAAATAAACAATATACAAAAGCATAACAAATAGAGTTAGTACTAAGCACCGGCGTTACCGCAATGCGATTATGCAGTAAATTTTGATAGCGATTTTTCAGAAAAGTAACGTGGGCGATTATTTACGATTGTGGTATTTAGTTAGATAATTGTGAAGCTATTTTTTCGATTACGATTAGCTGCTAACTAATCAAAATGCAACTTTTTTTGATATACGAACACAAAAATCGCAGCCATTAAAATTAAATCGCCTTTTTATCATTATTCCCGCAACATACTGCAATTTTATCAAAAAATCTCTATTTTTGCAAAGATCGCTATTATTGTCTAATAATTCCATTAACTCAATTTAGCAATTAAATGTTATACATAATGTTATTCTCGCATTTGATAGAAAACTTGCAAAAAATCCAAGTTACTAATTCGAAAAAGTAAGAACAGGAGTTTGTTTCATTTATTAATAAAAAATAAATAAAATATTATAATATATTTCATGAATATGAAGATGTCGATAATCTAGATTTTCTACAAAATGCAGAAGTCATAACGAATTTAGAATTTAATTTGTAGATGTGGGTGTATCAATTTCAAACTGATTTCATCTATTAACTCACAGGATGCGTTACAACAAAAGTTTATTATTTTTATTGGAATTTTAGTTCTTTTGTGTGCTTGCAAAATGCTTTCATTCAATTAATACTGTGCCTATTTGGACACGCTCTTGAAGGCTGGTTTTGAAGTTGATGGTTGAGGCTGGGAATCAAGCAGAGAGAAGGGTCTTGTGAAGGTTGAGTGACTTTAGAGTTTTTGATTTGGGAAGTTGAGGGTTAAGGTTCTTTTGGTTATGGTTGATCAGCTGGCTCATCTTTAAAAAATTTATTTTGTAACTACCGTTGGTACCTTCAATTGATTGAAGATTTTTTGTGAAGTGTTGAAAGATTAGGTTCACTATTTTGAGTTTTTATAATTTATTAGAGATAAACTTAACAAATATATTTTACTAAGTTTCTTAGTTCATCCTTCTTTTATATCCTTTAAAACTAAGAAAAATTCAACAATTGCACATTGGTTTTACCAAATTCAATTTAATTATAGCAAATAGGAATAACTCTTCCATTAACTATCAATTATCTGCATTACAGCATTACTAATTGCTATTACGAATACTCTTCGCCATAAATCTGACAAATCGCAAAACACCGCAAAAATAGCGGAATATTTTTTTTAAAAATCACTGATGCGATAAATTTCAAAGCGATTTTTATAGAGCAAATCGCCTGGCGATATATTGCACATTGATTTTTATCCAAAAAACCACACACAATTCAATGCGATTTTTATCACTTTTTATTACATAATAAAAAAAAATTGCTTTTATGCTAACCGCCAATGCATTAACGCCAGTGCTTAGTTAGTACTTTTTCTTGCTTGATGTATAACAAAAAACAAGACAATTTTACCCAACATTTTCTGCTAATTCTGCAAGTGAGTTGATCGTATCTTCTTTTTCATCCATGTACGCATTTTCTACTGTATAACTAAAGATTAACATAAAATGGATAACTGAAAATTATAAAATTAAATATATATAATTATGAAAATAATTAATGTTAAATTAACATCAAAAAATAAAAGAGTTTTTTAAAAAAATCTAATTTACATAGACTTGTTGTAGAGGGATTCTAAAAGAGTCTAAAAAATTCTGTTAAAAATACAGAGAAAGAAACCAGGACTTGGTTACACATAGACGCAGTCATAACATTATTTGTAATGAAAATCCACGTTATTATTTTTGCATTCAATTACTAGTTGAATATTTCAAACAGCAGAAATAATATATAATAAATAATTAGTAAATAACAAATACAAAAATAAAAAAATATAAAATAAAAAAATAAATATAATTAAAATACAACAAATATACTTTAAACTTATTAAAACTTGTAAAATAAGGATAACTATAAGAATCTCAGATTGTTGATTAAACCACAACACTAGAGTCGTAAAAAGTTAGTGAAGATTTTGAACAAAGACCATATAAAAATTATTTTGAGAATTCCATGTATTATCTGATTGACAGTTTTAATAGAAACTTTGTGCTGATCAAGTAAAAAATTTGTATTTTTGTACTTGTACAAATGTAATTGTTACCAGCACAAGCAGCAAAATTAAAAAAAATATTAAAAAAAACTTAAATTAACCTTTATTTTTTAATATTTACAATTAAGTAGTTCTTTAATGACCTACTCTCGTAGTAAGTATTCATAATAACTTTGATAAAATTTATTTCTCACCCAGTTGCATTCTCTTCCTCTTCATCTTCTATATCTTCTTCACCTGTTTCATCTTCTATTAAAAATAATGGATCATTGCTGGTATCTGTTGCCTAAAAACATGTTTCAGTAAAAATACATAAAATAAACATTTTGATTTTTTATTATTTTAAATTATTTTTATTGTTTCTAAAACAATTGTTGACAAATTCTTGCAACAAAAAACTTTAGATAGAACCTTAATATTGCCAAGTTCAGGATATAACAGTTATATAACAGTTTGTACTAGATACAATCCTATACAAACTGTTTTACTGCCTTGCAAGATTCATTTTTTTTTTTGTTAAATCTGAAATAAAATACCCTTTGCCTTGGGGGCATAGGGCATTTTAATTCAGATTTAACTAAAAATATCTAAAAATTAACTTCCTAAGCAAAATTTTTTAAGGGTTAGTATAAAATTCATGTTAACCAGCCATTCTTCATTTAATAAATTGACATGGATATAAACCGGTGTTACATTGTTTTTTGCATAGAATGATAAACTCTTGATTCCTCATGGGTTGTTGCTTGTGTCTCCTCAGTAGCAACTATTCAACTTCTCCTGTTATCTTTTAATTGTACAGCTCTAAAATTCTGCTTAATGGTTCTGAGGCTGGCTGGTTGGCTGGTAGCAAGATTACCCAAACTGTGGTCTCAGAGAGGCTGATTCAAACTGTAAAATGTTGTAGTATTAAAAGCGTAATGTTGCAAATAGAAGGAGTTCCTGTTAGTACTTTTAATATGCATTGTCAATGCCACCTATGAAGCCTTTGGTTACAATTGGGTTGATTAGTAGGAAGAAGGCAACCACATAACATAGGACGTCATGCACTTTTTATGATTAAGTTAAGTTGTCTAATTATTAAAAACAAGAATAAAGTACTTGAAAACATCAATAAATCATTAATATATCATCATTATCCCCAAATTATTTCAATCTATCCTTTACAAATAGTCCTGGTTTTCAAAGTAGTTTTTAATCTAATGCATCTTACCTATTGCCTAATTCACCAGACTTGCTCATCGAGACGCTACTTTAAATTTAGCTGTTTCATCTTCTGATATTCAAGTTAATGGTTATTATCTGTTGATATTATTAATAATTAACCCAATTATTAAATGTGTAGCTTGGGCATATACTTACATATCAATTTACTTATTTGTCACAAAATCAAGATTAAACCCTCCAAAAATTCTTATGTACTTTCATTTAGCTTTTTTTCACTCAATCACTGTTTTTTTCTTCAGCTATTAATCTCATATTAATTTTCCCACAACTGCACTCTTTTTAATGTTATTTCTGATAAAATTGATCTTTCTCTTAATCTCCATAATAATTTTTATTGGTGACTATAATGGTCATTACACTAAATAGTTTCTGCTATTTTTAATTGTAATCATTTTTTTTATCTTTTCCAAAAGAATACTTTTTAGAAAATAAACATCTCTTTACTATTGCAGAAATCAATGCAAGAATGCCTGACACACATGAAGTCATTATGGCCTCATTCACATAATTCATAGGTTACTTAAATTAGGTTATAGTGTATTATTTAAATATGTTTAATTTAAATCTATTGTTTTTTTTATAAAGTTAAGTATACGAAGTGTTTTAACATAAGTTTTATTAAGTTTATTAAATTTTTTATTAAATTTATTAAATTTTTAAGAATTTTTTGTATAAAGCATGTTTTCTCTAAAATAATATTTTGATATTTTAGATATACGAGGGTCCGGCGAATCACCTTTTTTGGTATCAAATCGAAGTAGGCCTTGATTTGCAAATCGAATCAGCAATTTGAGGATGTCTATGTTTTAGTTAAACAAATAAAGATTTCTGATTTCAAAATGCTGATTGGACCCATCATTCAATTCGATTTGCGAATCAAGACATGCTTCAAATTGTGATTCGATTCGAAACTAAAAAAAGTGATTCGCAGGGCCCTAATATATATATATATATATATATATATATATATATATATATATATATATATATATATATATATATATATATATATATATATATATATATATATATATATATATATATATAAATACATACATGCATACATAGATACATACACACATTTTAATTTTTCTGGATTGTATTATTGACCATTTTTTTTGAAATACTAAATATATAAAAAAAGTTAAAATAGTTCAAAAAGTTTTAATATTCCCAAGTTTCTTCACTTAAAGCAAATGATTTTTTTTAAAGGTTTTCTATTATTAGTTTTGTATTTACTTTTATTGCAAATCTTGCATTAATTATATTTTTAAATTAATGAAAGGGATTTTATGATGAAGGATTACATTTAACTGTTCAATGCTAGCTGTACTTACTGAGCAGACAGACCTTATAATTTTATCAATTTGCTATATTTGTGTTTTTATCTGTAAAAAATTGTTTTAATTATTATTTATTTTTTTTTATTTTTATTAAATAAAAAAAATTTTACTAATAATATTTTGTCAATAATTTATAAGAACTACCTTAAATATATAACATTACTCAGTTAAAAAGATTATATCAATTTGTTTATAACTTTAGCTTATGTTCTTGAATGAAATATGTTATCTTAAAACATTGTTAAACTATTTTGAAACATAACTTAAATATGACTAATAGTAAAGAAGAATATAGTTAAATTATTATATTATGCTCTGTTTTATTTGCTTACACTTTATTTTAGATAATTTTAAGAAAGAAAATTCTAAGTTCAATCTAAAAATAAAAATTCAACTTTTATTATTTTAGGCATCATTTTTACACATTCCTTTTATGCCTAATTATGTCTGATAATTTAAGAAGTGAAATTATTAGACTTCCTTAAAATGAAAGAAACCTGGTTAGGCGAGCTGAGATCGATTGTTGTCAAAATGAAAGAGATGAGCCTAGGTGAGCTGAGTTGAATTGTTATAAAAATGAAAGAAATCAGGCTAGGCGAGAACTCAATAGTTATAATACGCATCACATAGAAAATTTAGTTATTATTTTATCTGTTTAGTTCTACTTTGGTACTCTACCAACTATCATGTTTACTTTGTATACTGTTAAAATATGGTTTTAACATAGTAAATTTTAATTATTTAAAATTTGCTAAGTTGATCATTAGCTAATAGTTTAAAAAGAAATGAGTTGTTGCAATCAAGGTAAGAATAATTTTATTTTCTGGTCAAATTGCAAAATTTGTTTGCACCGACAGCTATTGTGTTTTTGTTATTTTGTGTAATAGCTAATTATCTTTGCAATAAATTTCTTTTTTTACAGATTTAGATTTTTTTTCAACAATGCCGAGGAAAAACATCAGCAACAGCAAATTGGTTTGCAGTTTTTTTTTTTTCCATTTTAGACATATCTTACAATGCTTTTTTAGCATATTGCAATTCAAATAGAGAGCCCACATTTCATAAGGCAGATAAGATGTGGGCTTAGATAACAGGCAAAAGCTCCGCCGCTCCACCCCCTCTTTTTTTAAAAAAAAATTTATTTAATATTATGCGTTGATCTTGTAGAAAATAAAGTATGAGGAGAGAGTAGTGGGAAAAAAAGACGCTGCATCTATAATAAGTATTTTTGTAGTTGGTTAATCTACCAAATAGTAATTAATAATGCAAACTTAGTTAAATTTTATTTTGTAAATATATATTTTTCTTTATATATTTTGTTTTGTTATTATGTATAAATAAATTGATTTCCAGTTAATATATGTGGTGTATTTTTTCCTTTTTTAATTCAACTACTTCTTTTAGATTAATCAGATGACGTGTTTGTTCAATATAGACATACAGTTAAAAAGTATTAAAAATTGCTATGTTTTGTTAATTTGGTAATAAATGTGTAAATAAAATTATCTTTAATTTTACAAAGCTATTAGACATTTTTTTGAAAGAACAATCCACCATGATTCGTATTTTATCTATGTGAACCAAAGTCTATGCAAATATCTAATGTAAACTTTAAATTATATAAACTATAAAAACTATATCAAATGTTATAGATTTACTTTTACTTGATAATATTATTGCGGCAATATTTGCTTAAATTTGATTTAAATGAAATTTTATAAAGCATTTATGTTCCGTCTATAAAGTTTAATAAGTTTTTTTGTTTATTGTTTATTTTTTTACTTTGATTTTAATGCCCCAAGAAGTCCTTATGGTCTTATCAAAAAGCAACGCGGATGAGCATTTAATTGGAAGTTCATGCCTCATTCCTAACTGATGTCGTAAAAGTTGCCCAGGGATGGGGATGTGAACCACGGAACCTTTGTTTCTGAGGCAAGTTCTTTTTAAAACTTCTAAAAACATAAAAACACCGTTATTTGTAGTGCATATGCCATAGTAGAGTTTAAGGTTTTAATATGCTTAGTAATAGATTAAGTGTACGCATTAATGTGATAACTTTCTTTTTTATAGAAAAAAAGATTTTACATGGAAACTTAAATACTCTTTAAAATTAACAGGGATTATCTTTTTACGGATATTTTCGGACTTCTGGATTTTTCTCAATTTTTAGTTTTTACGGACAGCCAAAACATTTCCCATACATATACAAGTTTAAGAATATATTTTTGTAATGTATTTGATCTTTAAGCTTTTTCACTCATCGTTCAAAATTAAAAAGAATTTGAAACAACTCAGCTAAAAGCAAATTTAAAGGGAAAATGTATTCCAGATATTTTACCCAAACAATTTTTTGGATTTTTAAAAAATAACCTTGATGATGTATGGAATAAGCTGCTGATGGCCTGAAAAAAAATTAATAGAAACTTATCAAAAATAATGAAAAGGTCCATTCCAGGGTTTTTTTTTTTTTATGTATTTATAAAAGTTTACAGAAGTTGTAAAGTATTGAAGTTAATTGTTAACTCAAAACAAAGATTTTTATATTTTGTTCTTTCTTAAAAATTATTGAAATAAAGCGAATTATTAAAATGGTAGTTGTAGAATAGACTTACCAGTAAAATAAAATATTAATATTCAGTAATAATAAAACGGGTTATGGTAAGTCCGTTATTCCACATATTTAAGTCATCTCATGTTTTTTGAAACTTTTTATACTTATGGTATTGAATTAGCACATTTCAAGCGGGTATTCTAAATATTATTTAGACTGGTACTATATCCAATTAGTTGATAAATAGGGATTAACCCAACGTAAAAAAGTTTTTAATGTTAAATATAATAAAAAAATTTATTTTATAGCTTTAAAAAGTAATAAATATAGTATATATATATATATATATATATATATATATATATATATATATATATATGTATTTAATTAAAAAACAATAAGTATAGTATATATATATGTATTTAATTAATTTTCTACCTCCTACTAAATTATATTGAAGTAAGGAATAACTATAGAAAAGGTCGGTGTGGAATAGATTTACTAAGACCTGTATTTTACGGGTCATGATGGCTAGTATATAAAAATAAATTATATAAAATAATAATAAAAAACCCTAACCCTGACGTAATATATAAAATATATGAAATAATAACTTGAGTAAAAAAATAAATAATTTTCAATTTTTTATTTTTTTAAAATTAAGAACATTAGACTGTTAAAGCAATTAGAAGCTAGAAGATTTCTACTTTTTTTACTTTTTTTTTAATATTTTGATACCTACTTATTTTAGAATGTTAAAATTTTTTATTGAAATCTAAAATATTTAAAACTGACAGCACATACATTATGTGCAACTTTTATTATCATTGTGCACATAACTTGCATGAGAAAATTTTTTTTTTAGTGTTTTAAGCTATCTGTTATATTTTCTTACAGTAGTAAAAGCTCCATCTCTGTCTTTAAAAAAATGAGAATTATTAAGCTAACACTAACACATGGTCTAACTGTCCAAAATTATTAATTTAAAGTTTGAAAGCTTCATTAAACATTTGTAAGTAATTACAAATTGCATATGGACCATGCATAAATACATCAATATATAATAGAATTGCCCTACATTATCAGAGCAATAGTAGATATAGTGACTTTTTTAAAATAATTACTATGTGATGAAAGTATTTACTTATTTATTTGATGAAAGTATTTATTTACTTACCACAATGCCATCTGTTGAACTGAGAGACAATATCATTGCTTGAATGATTGAGGGCAAATAGAATTCCATTTTATCTTTCAGCACAAATGAAACTGCAGAAAACAAACCATAACTAAAAAAAAGTGCAATTTGTATTATTTTAATAATATATTGACCAGGATTACAAAAGCTAAAGGTTATGGTTCTGACTTTAAAATCTCAACTCTAAAAAGATGTAAAAGGGGTCGCTTCAATAGATGATTGATCAATAGCTATTTATTTTTATATTTTTTAAATATTTTTTCCCATACTCTGTTTCCCAAACCTACACTCTAAAAGACAAATCTTGGTAGGCAAATCCCTAAATATTATTTCTAAGATGTGAATCACTGATATATTGGTTCATTCCTAAGATGTGAATCACTGATATATTGGTTCATTCCTAAGATGTGAATCACTGATATATTGGTTCTTACCTAAAATGTAATGCACTGATATATTGGTTCATTCCTATGGTGATCCATAAAGTGCCTGTTTATATGATATCAAAATCTTCAAGTTTTTTGCTGATAATTTTCAGTATATTGATTTTGAAAAGCTAATTGAAACTAATTAACTATAATAATCAACCCAAAAAAAATCCCCTTAAATACACTACTTTTAGCCATTACCAAAACTGATGACTTTTATGAATGCAACAAATTCACTTGAATACAATCTTGTCCATTCTTTTTAGATGCTACATATCGTCAAACTTCGTAACCAACAATGACTGCCAAACATCAACATACTTAACGCTTGTTTTGCATAGTTTTTCCTTCATCAGTCAAGATAAACCTCTTATAGTGTGAAGTAGAAATAAGTCTTTGACCTTGGCACATTACACTCATGCTTTTGATACTTTCTATGCTCTACCTCCTAATCTAACATACCGTTTAAATTTTATTTACTTTTATTTTTGTAGATTTTTAAATTTCAAGATTGAGATTGGAAATAGTTTTGTGAAAATAAATGCATTTAAGATTAAAAAAAAACAAACAATAATATAATGAATGATCACTAAAAATTGCATTTTGATCATTTTTTTCAAAATTTTTTAATGCAAATGAAACATAAATAACATATTAATAATAGATTAAAATAAAAAAATATTTTACACCTTATTTTTTATTATTGATATAGTTAAGGGATTTTCTATGAAATGAAATATACGCAAGTAAATGATTAATTAAACTAATTAATCTTTTACAGTTTTACAAGTTTAACTTCAACGAATGAAATGTTAAACAAACATTGAAAAAAAATTCAGTTTAATTTCAGTGAATGAAATGTTAAACAAACATTGAAAAAAAATTCAAATAAAGAAAGTGCTATTAATGCAAAATAAGAAAAGTTAAATGTATATGGTGGTTTTAATGAACTTTAATTATAGATCTAAATCCAAGGATGATTTTTAAAAACCCAATACCTTTCCTTTGGTGCCAACTTGGTAAAAAAAAGGCATTCTCTAATGCCAGCAATCTTTACCTTTTTTTCTCTAGTTTTTTAATTTTCTCACCAAATTTAACCTTAATACTGTTAGTGATCCTATATATGTTAAACTATTATATGATGCAAATCACTTTCTTTTTTGAATGTGACACATAATGTGGTCGCCAAAACAATTAAACATTTTTGAATGTGCATGAAATTTTTTTTTAAATGAACAAAAATTATTGTAGTTTGTGTTAGAAGTTATAGATAACGATCTCCTATGTTTGTTTTTATGCAGTTTACAACAACTTTGTTTTGAATTTTTTTAATTTGTTTTTTTGATTGTGAAAGGTTTATTATTTTAATTCACTGTCAATTTTTTATAATTTAGAATTTTATTTTAACTTAGCAGTTTTATCATTTCTAATCTTTTTGTATGTACAGCTTTTCCTTTTTTATTTAACATATAAAACATTATAAGTATAAACATTAAAAACAAAAACTACAAAAAAAACATTATTAGTATAAACATTAAAAACAAAAACTACAAAAAAAGGAAAGAAACATACGTGCATCTTTTTAAATCTGGATCTTCACAATCTTCTATAACTTTCTACAAACGATAAATTGAATTAAATAAAAATTTTTTAAATAAAGTATATTGCTATTATTTATTAACAACCATATTTATTTTTTATGTAGAATTATGATACAATATGGTTTTATAGCTACTTCTTTATTTATTAACTCTGCATTAAATAACAACATAAAAATATAAGTCTTATATTATTAAATTAAAGTAAATATGCAATCCAGAATTTCTGATAATCCTGTAATACAGGGATTGACTATTATTAATCCTGTGATTTTCTTTAAGACCAAATGAAAGCATAATGAAAAATATAAAAACGACAAGAAAGTTCATACTTATATTATAAAACGAATAAGATAAAATTTTATAAAACTTCAATAATGATTGTATGTTTTAAGTATAACTATATATATAAAAAAAAATCAATAACTAAATTAGAAGCAACTGGTTGAAGCAGAAGGTTGAAGGTTGAAAGCAACTGATTGAACTCTTGTTTATAGTAAGATCTAATTGCCTTCGAGGCAAAAATTTAATTATTACATCACTAAATACATTTTTACAAAAAGCATTTTTTACTTAATTATAACTTCTTACTGATTTTGTTAAAAATAAAACATTACTAAAATAAAACAATACTAAAATAAAACATTACTAAAATCAAAATTTCATTTTATTTGCAACAATATAATTCTATGTACATTAGGGTGGTTCAAAAAACAACTTTTGTTAAAAATGACTGCTGGCCACGGCTGTTTCACTCAATATAAATGCGAGCCTGACGTCACGAGTTTATCAAAAAAAAAAGTATTTCCGCATAAAAAGTATAAAAATTCATTAAATTTAAAATAACAGTATTTTTTTTCTATAAATGCTTTCATCTTCAAATAAAAAAAATATAAAAGATCTATCTTTCCTTGTTAAATAAACATTTACATTAAAAGGAATAAAAATGAAAGCTGTAAAAATATTGTTAATAATTTGGCATCACTTTTCTGATTTTTGCGATTTTTACGCAAAACCTGTCTTAGGCCAACTAAGATTTGATAACATAGCTACATGGTCGATGGTTGAAATTTAGAACAGTTATTAATGAATGTCTGTTCTATCTAGATTTCCACAGACTTTGCAAGTTTTTATATAGAAAGTTAGTTTTTAATGCATTTATATTTTTGTTTTTATTCGTTTTGAATAAAAAACATAACATTTTTGAAAAGTCTGTGGATTTAGTAATACTTCAACCTTATATGAATAAGAAAATCAAAAAATTATTTTCTGTACCTCTAGCTATGTTATCAAATATGTTTTCAAACTTGGCATGTTTAGCGACATTTTTTTTAGTTTTTTTTGCATAAATTCTTGTTTACATTTTAAAGCGGTGACGCAAACTCTGATCGTTACGTCCCCAACGATTATCGGATGCATTTTAAGAAAACAAACAAAACAAGCGAGACACATTTTATAGAATAAATAACAAAGTTTTGCGGATTAATTTCTCTTGGATATTTGACTAATTTCAGATAAGTTGATTAATCCGATTTTATCTAGTGCATCTATTTGTCAATATTATTCTATTTAAGTTGTTTGTATTATAATTTTATTACTATATCAATAAAGATTATAAAGCAAAGTTTCGTGGATTATTTCCTCGTGGATATTCGACTAATCTCAGATAAGTTGCTTAATTCTTTTATTTTTAGTGTATTTATTTGTAAATATTATTTTATTTAATTTCTTTTATTATATTATTATTATAATATCATTATCATTATTTATGTGATGTATGCAACTGAGAGGGAAATTTTGAAACTGTACATCGGTTGGGAAGATGGTTGGGAAAATGAGTATAACTTTAATTTTGTAAAGCGAGTAATTGACACTAGTAAGATTACTAACAATGTGATTTCAATTTTATTAACAGTTTTTCATCCAAAAGCGTTGTTTACTTTTTTAAGTTTTCTTTTGCCAATTGAGTTTAATATGCCTAATATTGATGTGTTAAATAAAATGTGCCGAAAAATAAAACAAAGAAAAAAAGATTCTAAAAAGTATTTTGAAGCTTCAAAAAACAAAGCATTTTTTAAAATGCAACTGTCTCCAGCTCCACAAACAAAAAAACAAAAAAAATCAGCAGATGCAGATAATTTTTATATTTTAAATAGGAATAAAGAACTAAGTAGTCAAGTTGAACAATTAATTTCTAAAGAAAAAAATAATGTGGAGCAAATAGATAATTTAAAAATACAGGTATCAAAGTTGGAAACTGAAGTTATATATTTAAATTCTAAAAACAAGGCTCTCAACGCACATTGTAACTCATTAAGTTCTCAATTAGAGACTATGAGTATTAGGCTAAAACAGGAGGAGCAGTTCCAACTTTTAAAAAAAAAAAAATTAAAAACAGCACACCGTAAATTTGCATCTGCTCGTGCCAAAAATGTAAGATTGCTAAAAAAATTTAAATTTGAAAAAAAAAATGCAAAAATCAGTGATATAAACAAGAACAGTTGCCAAATTTGCAAATATTTTGCTAGCAGTGATAAGGATTTAGTTGTCGTTGATTCTTATTTAGACTATGACAACATTGGTTTCTCTGAATTATTCTGTGGGTTTAAATTAAGTAATCCACAGACTATATCAGTTAAAAAGCCAATAGTTGGTAAGAAATATACTTACATTAAGTTAGGAGATGGTAAATCTTATTCTAAGTTAGGTAGGCATGCTGCAGCTAGACGATCTAAACTTGCTTTTATATTCCTTCGATTATTAGCTTGTTCAGATTTGGAAAGTGATTTGTCTATGTTGTTTTGTGATTCTGTGTCTTGTGAAAAGTCTATGTTTCATTGTGTTGCAAATAAGTTGGGTTTAGTTAGGCAGTTAAGTGTTTCTGATGCTGTAGAGCTGCAGAGCCAATTAAGGATGCCCACGGCTGAATTCCGTAGGCTAAGACGTATTCTGTGTAATCTTGGTGCAAGGATTCTCCCATCTGAGCCCAAGATAAGACAAGAACAAGAAATGCGGACAATGCATGTTAGTAAAGAACATGTTACTGTAAAGTCCATGTTGCTTTATCCATCTGCGAATGAAGCACCTTGTTTAGTACCTGTATTGATGGTCAAGAATTTGATAACTTATATTGAAGAGGTTTTCAATAGTCTGCACGTTCGTGACCACTTCAATTCTGATGTCGGTTTTTGCGAAGAGGTATGGCTCCTTTTTGCTGGGGATAAGGGTGGGAAGTATATGAAATTCCATTTTGAAGTTGTCAATTCTAAATCATCAGGGTCTGTATATGATGTTCATTTATTTTGTATGTATCAGGGTTCAGACTGTCGTGAGAATATTGCCTTAGTTCTCGGGCATTATGCCAACGACATTAAAAGAATTCAGTCGTCAGATTTTAAGCTAAAAGGCAAAATAGTCAGGTTGTTCTTAGGTGGAGATTTTCATTTTATCGATGATGTTCTGGGACACCAGGGTTCAGCTGCTAGCTTTCCTAGTTCTACAGACCTAGTTAAGTTGAATTCTCTAAGAAACCATGCTTCTATGCCTCACACACCTGCTAATTGTAACATCTTAAGGAGGACAATACAATCTCTGGAAAGTGCTTACAATGAGAACTTGTGTGAAGATAGACAAGGTGGAAACCTAAGAGCTCTAGGTAAGTTTCATAATTCAATTATTGCTCCTGTGATTTTCCCCATAATAACTTTAGATAATGTAGTGCCACCTGTTTTGCATATTATGTTAGGAGTTGTGTTAAAACTTTATAAGTTATTGTTGAAGGAGTGTAAGACTTTGGATTGTCAAGCTGTTTCGTCTTTGTCGCATAATGAGAATGTGAGAACGAATGAATTGTGGGCTGCTAAAAGCTTTGAATGTTCTAAAACAGCAGACTCTTTACGTTTATTAGGAAATCAATTTGTAGACGTTGCAAATCTACAGACTCGTTGGTTAGCTTTTGATAAAAATATTTCTGAATTGGAATGCATATCTCTAAACTCCTCCAATAAAAAAAAAAACCTGTAAACAGCAAGAAAAGTGTGCTAGTATCAGGTGTTTAATTACTAAATATGATTGTAACATTGATTGGGTGCAGTGTGGTACGTGCCAAAAATTGTTCCATCAATTTTGTGAAATTATTGGTGGTTCGGAAAAGAATGTATTGTGTGATATAGAGAAGTATGAGTGTTTAGCATGTCAGGGTGAAGATTTAGAATGTCTTGACCTTTATATTTCTGAAAAAATTTCTTTTATACGCGCACAGCGCGAAGTTTTAGACGTTGAGTATATTCGATTGCAGATAGAGTGTGAAGACCTAGAAAAAATATCTATAAGTAGCATGGGGACTCATGAGAGGTCTCTTTATAAGGCCCTTGAAGATATGAAAGTTGAGCGACAAGCTTACCATGGTAATGTATTTGTAGGTAATCATTGTAAAATAGTATTAAGAAACCACTATAAACTTTGTAGTGTTATTGATGATGAAGCAATTAAAAATAGATTTGTACGTGTGTTTAGTGTTTTTAATAACTTGCAACCTATTCTTTTTAAGCGAAAATTTCTTTCTGATGCCGAAATTTCTGAGCTTCATCAATATATAAATTTATTTGCTATTGAGTTTCATGCTTGCTTTCCAAAAGAAAGTATCACGCGAAAAATGCATGAACTCATTTTCAATGTGCCACTATTTGTAAAATTGCATAAAACTATTGGGTTGCTGAGTGAAGAGGAGGGAGAGTGTTTGCATAATAGCGTAAATAAGGAATTAAGGCAGTTGCATTCAGTTAGAAATCAGGAGCAAAAGCTGCATCTTGTTTTAAAACGCTTTGAATTGCACAGCAAAGCTGATAGGAAGCTTCAAGCCTCTAAGGTGAGAAAGTGTGTTGTGTGTTCAGAGCGTGGCGAAAATTCATTTTATAGACAAGGTCTTTGTCTTGTTTGTGGTCATCAAATTTAGTTTAAATGTTTGAAAAGTTAAAAAAAAAATTAAACTTTTTACATCTAAGATAAATTATATAAGATCCTTAATTTACAAATAAAAGAATTCTATTCTGTTTTAATGCCTGTAATGTTTGTTCAAAATAATAATAATTTTTTATTACAATGATTTTATATATTAGGTAGATGCCCATTCTGTTCCTATTTTCAAAAGTTTATTATATCTATGCAATGCCTTTGCTCAGGTTAAAGAATGGAATAAAAGTCTAGCATCAAATGTATAGCTAACTATTTTAATTTGTGATCAGAGCAACTGGTATGTTTGTTGGATATGATTTTGTATGTTTATGTAGTTAAATCAAAAAACGTTTTATCCTTTGTTATGTAATATGTAACATTTTTTATATATATTAGATCTCCGTTCAATTTTTATCATCAAAAGTTAGTTCTACCTTCGCAGGACCTCTGCTCTACATACCTCCTCTCTAGTTAAAGAATGGAATATAAGTCTCATTTATCAAGTTGGTGTAAAAATTTAGCTTGATAAATTAAGAAGTTGTAAACTTTATTATCACAATTGCCAAGTTGACCAAATGTTCTTCTGGTTTTAAATGAATTATGTATGAGTCTAGTATCATCTGGGTGTTCAAAGATAGTTTACTGCTTGAAGAACTTATCAATGGACCAACTAATTATAAAACAGTTTTTAATGAAAATAAAAACGAATTATCAAAAGATTTAAATCAGCTATTTGTGTATATTTAAACACTTTATTTTTTGTGAGAAGAGATTATTGATACAAGTACCATAAAATAATTCTACTACCAAAAGCTAGGTTAATTCAAAACCTTTAACTCAATTTTGGTCATGAATTATTTTATTAGAATTGATGAGTTTTTATTTATTAACTACCTAACACCATATTATTAGAACTTTATTTTGTAATGTAATGATTTTATCAGCGTTCCAAAATAATTTTCTAAATCAAGAACTTCTATATTAAAAAAAGTACTCATTTAACAACTAATCCCCCCTTATAACAACGTTTTTCATAATTTTGCGAAAAATGTGGTTTGCTTTCACAATTCGATTAAGGCTGTTTTAGTTAACCTTAAATAATTAAGTAAGGTTTTTTTGTTTTCATTATTGTCAAACAATAAGTGTATTTGATAATAACTATTAGGAATATATTTTTCTAATTTTTTTTTGATAAAAAGTAACATCAAATTACAAAAATTTAGCCAAATTCAATATATGTCATATTTATTCTAAACTAAAAGAAGTTTTTCTACTAATGCATTAAATGTTATAAGGTAAAACATTTTATTGATGTCTTAATTGTTTTTACAAAACAAAATTACCTCTTATATTTCAAAAGTTATAAAAGTTTTAGTAACACCCCTTTAGTCAATATTTTCAAAAATTAACAAGAAGCCGTTAAGCTCGGTTTGAAACAGCCGTGTGGCACGCCCTAAATATGTTGTATATAATAAAAAAATGGTGAATTTAAATTTTTTTTGAATAAATATTTTAAGGGGTTGCTACCGACCCTCGAAATTAAATAGGTCCCTAATATTATTTAATTTTTTTTTTTTTTTTAATGTCATGTTTGATCTTAAATGAAGCAAAATTATATAAAAATTTCAAAACTAACATTCATTTTATAAAAAAATGAATAATATTATTGAAATTTTTTTTTAAAAAAAAATCAATAAAAAAATTATAATCAAAAAATCTTGTTAAATTAATAATCGTTATCCCTAATAATCCCTAATAATTGTTTTTAGTTAAAAAACGTAATTTTCTGTTTACTAATATCTAAAATAAAAATTTAACTATAAAATGTTTTTGGAATTTTTACATAATTTTGCTACATTTAAGACCCAATACAACATTCTTTTAAAAAACCTTATTTTTTATAATATTAAGGACCTATTTAATGTTCAAGGGTGGGTAGCAACCCCTTAAAATATTTTTTATTCAAAAATTTTTTAAACCCTCTATTATTTTATTATATAGAACACATTCAGGGAGTGCCAGCAGAAATTTTCAAAAAAAAAATGTTTTTAGAACCAATGTACATACTAATGTACATACAATACAATTAAAATACAATTCTAGATACAAACTTACAATTCCAAATTGTATGCAATCATTTGCCACTGGATAAAATATATCTGATTTGATATTCCTAGCAAGTGCACCAAGAGTATCTAGAAATAAAATGAGTAATACCAGCAATAAACAAATATATCAAAAATAATAAAATATAAAAGAAATATTAAATTTAGCATTAATATCTTATTTTATTACTTCTGCTCTTAATAAACAGTAGTAATAATAGTTTTTCTTTTAGCTAAAAATATATAAATAAAAAAACTTATCAAAAAAGTTTAAAGTTTTTATAATTCAAATTTAAATTTTCTGTACTGTGTAGTTAATAAAACTTGTTTTGCTAACATTGTTTCAATGACATTTCTTATTGTACTTGATAATTTATTTAATATGTAAAACATAAAATAGGCAATATTTTTATAATGTAATGTTTTTTATAAAAAATAGCACTACATTTTATACTATTAGTACTATATTTATACTAGACATATTTTGTCTTATATCTACATAAATTTAACACAATGAATATACCAACTGTCTGTGCTATTATATCCATATTTTCTAATGTAAGAGGTTGTTGCAAATACACCTAAAATAAAGTGTATATAATATATATATATATATATATATATATATATATATATATATATATATATATATATAAATATATATATAAATATATATATATACATATATATATATATACATACATACATATATATATATATATATATATATATATATATATATATATATATATATATATATATATATATATATATATATATATATATATATATATATATATATATATATATATATATATATATATATATATATACACACACTTGAGTGGTCGACTATGGAAAAAAACTAAAAAAAACTAAAATTGATTTAAAAAAATAACAAAAAAGTTAAAAGCTGAAAAAAACTTTAAAATAAAAATAGAGAAAATATTTTATTATTCTTGCTCAACCAGCTTCAATAAGTTTAAACAAGTTGAATGTTTTTAATTTAGTATACAATAACTTCATTTTATAGAACACATTTTCATGCGCATCATTAATGTTTAACTTTTTGTTTGACAAAGTTTAAATAAAAATTTATTTTAACTATGAGATTAAAACATTAAAAAAAAAAAAAAAGATTCATGTTTTGAATTGTAAAAAAAAATGTTTTGAAACATTTTGATTTAAAAAGAAAAATATACTTTTAAATGTGACTGCAAAATTTAAAAAGATCTTTGCTATTTGAAATAATTTGATTCTTGTGCATGTCTAATTTAATTTAACTTCTTTTTATTATGTTCAGTAAAATTATATAATGCAACTAAGTGTGTAACTAATATAAATGCTTCTTAAAGGTTTTTTTTTTAAATAACCACAAAAAAAGTAGATTAAAATATGATTTTATAATTCAACACTTTTTGTAAGTAAAAACTGGTTGTCCTGCCAGGCTACTAACTGGAGTCAGTAGCCTGGCAGGACAACCAGTCAGTTTTTACTTACAAAAAGTGTTTTTTTTTCCTAAACATCAGTCGCCCTTTGCAAAAACTAGACACCACTATAGTATATATACAATATTTATACATTTAAAAATCTTAAATGACTACCTTTAAATGTTCCATGATCACACTAAAATAATTAGAGAGATGTTCTCCTGCTGATGTAGCTGAAACAAATTAAACAGAATCAGAATTTTATTCACATTTAAAACTAAGTTAAATTTATTTCATTACAAATTCTTGACAACTAATCAAAAATTCTTATGTACATTAAAACTTTCTAATCCTTCAAAGAAAAAGAAAAAAAACTATGTAAAAAATTTACCTAAAGCTCCGATGGCACTTATTGCTAGCTCTGAGGTATGAGCATCCTTAAATACAACAATTAAATATAAGAAAATAATTTTGTAACAAGTTTTCTAAAATATCAACAAAAAAATGTCAATTTTATTTTTTAAATCTTTTTTTTTTTTAATTATTTTTATAAAATTGATGAAATATTGTATGAGATATTGGTTTGTATTGTATGAAACATGGTTGTATTGAATTAAATATTGGTTACGTGAAATATGGTTACATTAGGGTAACCTTGAACAAAAACACTCTTTTTAGCGTTTAAAGAGTTTCCTTGTCTTTTTTTTTATATTAGAATTTGTTAAATGTAGACAAATTTTACTAAAATTAAAATGTCATGAATAAATTTTTTTTTGATTTATTTATTTAAATGTGAAATATTTGCTTAACCTTATCTTAATATATTTTATATATCTTAAATATTTGCTTAACCTTATCTTAATATATTTTATATATCTTAAATATTTGCTTAACCTTATCTTAATATATTTTATATATCTTAAATATTTGCTTAACCTTATCTTAATATATTTTATATATCTTAAATATTTGCTTAACCTTATCTTAATATATTTTATATATATTAAATATTTGCTTAACCTTATCTTAATATATTTTATATATCTTAAATATTTGCTTAACCTTATCTTAATATATTTTATATATCTTAAATATTTGCTTAACCTTATCTTAATATATTTTATATATCTTAAATATTTGCTTAACCTTATCTTAATTGATGCGACTTGTTATAAGTATTCTATTATTTTCAATGTTACAGTGTATATGTAATGTTTTAATTTTATTTGTATCAATTGTTGTAATAATTTTCTGGTAACATGTAACCCAGTACAACCTGAATCATCTCCTGCTGCCTTGTAAGATACGCTTATGTTGCCTTGTAAGGTAGCAAAGGCTAGGAGATGCCAACTCTAAATTAACACAACCCCTGCTTTGGGGCTTAATTGAGTAAAGGCTAGAGATAGTGTCTTAATAAAAAAATTCATCTTGGGCAGACATTAAATGCATCCGGCTACTGTCTTGTAGAAGGCCTTCTAGGCAAAGACTTAAGGGGTAAACAGATTCTGTCTATTGACCAGCTTCACACCCCTTCCTCCCCTATTAGTCTGGCATAGATGTATTTATCATAGATGAGTATTTACTTTATGAAAATCCTGGAAAAATATTTTATTAAAATTAACAGAAAAAACTTTCGTAAACTTTTAAAACGGAATTTATATCATTTAACTTTTTACAAAAAAGAGTTTCTAATATTTGAAAAAGTTAATTTGAATGAATTAAAAAACAAAAAAAAAAGAAAAAAAATTGCTACGAAAATTTATCTTGTGAAAATTTTAATTATAGAAAACATATTTGTTTAAATACAAAAGTTGTTGTATTTAAAATTTTATAAAATATATAATTTTTTTTTTTAAATTAATAGCGAAAAACATCCGGAAATTTCTGGAAAATTGAAATAGTTTTAAGTGAATTTCCGGAATTCCCGAAAAAAAAAACATCTATGATTTATAATACATTATTTTCAGTTTAATACTAATAATCTTGACCCAGATTTCAGTTTAGGATGTTGAATACTGGATCATCTTGACCCAATGCATAGGTTTTAGCTGTTTTTATAACTAGGCAACTTAAGTCGTAGTGGTGTAGTGGTAGAGCACTTGCTTCATAAGCGAGAGGTTCCAACTTCGATCCCCAAAGCTTAGAAATAGCCTTCTGGGCTTTGGGGAGGTGAATTAAAAAAATTCATTCTATTATCTCCTAATGAGGGTACAGCTCCAAAACTCAGTTTTATGGTTCTGAGGCCAGCTGGTTTCCCTAACTCTGTGGTAGCTCTCGGAGATCCTGATACCATCAACAGTTTTAAAATATCAGAAACTAACAGTGTTATATTGCGCATGGATAGTGTCCCTGTTCATACTTTTAGTGTGCATTATTGAGTACTATCTGTGCTTCGAGTCAAGTCCAATTTAAAAAACAACTAGAGTATCAAAAAAAATAAAACACAAAAAAACATCGTCTTCACCAAGTTCTTTAAATTTATTATTCACTAATACTCATGATCTTTAAAGCAACTTTTCTTCTGCTTAGTCTTATCTCTTACAAAGTTCACCTACTTGCTCATTGTGAGACTAATTTAAGTTCAGTTATCTCATCTTGTGATCTTAGTGTTGATGATTATCTTCCTTAAATTCGTAAAGACTCCGATAGTCACATGCTTGGCTTGGGCACTTACATTCATAAAAATTTAACCATTTGCCGGGAAACTAGGTTTGAATCCACAGACTATTCTTTTATGTGCTTTCCTTTAGCACCACTTCATTCTATCACCTTTCTATTTGTTCTAGATTGCTCTCCTTCATCTCAAGATTACACTCTTTTTGATGCTGTTTCTGATCAAATTGACCAAGCCCTTTCTGTTTATCCTTTAGCCAATATCTCTGTTGATGACTTTAATGATCATGACACTGAATGGCCAACTTTCCAACTCGCTTTCCAGAAAGTCAACTTTCCAACTCGCTTTCCAGAAAATCTAATTCATTTATTTTCTCTACTTGATATATTGATGGGTGCAGTTTCTCCACAATTATCTTTAGGTGCTTATAATTACGGTTTGATCTTTCTAAAACTTATTCTTCTTCACCATCAGAATCGTCTTATCATCCTACCTCTTACAACTACCTTAAAGCTGACTGGGACTCTTTACATGAATTTCTTTGTGATGGCCCTTGGGTGGAAATCACTTGTCTTTTGACAAATGTGCTTCTTATGTAACTTCTTGGATTCAGACTGGCATAGAATCTTTTATTACCTCTCGGCAATTCCAAGTCAAGCCTCACTCTTTACAAAGGTTATTCTTTCATTGTGCTTCTGCATTTTCTAATCTTAACCATTACTTCCATATCTATTGCCAAAAAAACTCTCCAGAAAACGGACATCTGCTTACTATTGCTAGAAACCATTGTATAAAGTTTTTGTTTAATACCAAAGCTCGCTACTTTGAGGTAACAAAATTTCGCATTTCATCAAAAAAATTAGGCTGCAAAGACTTCTGGAGAATCTTTAACAGTGTCTATAATAATAGCAAATCTGTTATTTCTCCTCTCTTGCATGGTTCAGATTTTGTTACCTCACATAAAGACAAAGCTGAGTTGTTTGTTAAGAACTTTTCATTAACCTTATCTCTTGGTTCCACTAATATCATCCTTCCTGTTATAGCTGACAAACAGGTTGATCACATTTGTATTACTCCAGCTTCTGTATCTAAAGTAATTTCCTACTTAGACTATTCTAAAGCTTGTGGCCAAACAACATACATTTTATGATAAATTTTAATTTATGAAAATTTTTATTTACTACCAAGAGTCTTGCATAAGTGTTCTCCAGAGCTGTCAATTAAACTTTCAAAATTATTTAACAAGCGCTTATCAGAATCTTACTTTTCCAGTGGCATCTGTTATCCCTATTTACAAAAATTTCTGGTCTTGTTTAACTATCGCCCCATTAGTCTTCTTCCTGTTATAAGCAAGGTTTTTGAGTCTCTAATTAACAAATACTTAATCTGACATCTTGCATCTAGTAACTTATTTTTTGATTATCAAAATGGATTTCGATCTTCTCGTTCTACTGCTGATTTGTTAACAGTAATATTATACTGATTAACAAATGACTTGAAAGATTGCAATTTGAGAGTCAAAGTTATTAACATTATACATTAACAAAAGTTATTAATATACATTATAACATAACAAAGTCTCATAACAAAGATTAAATTGAAAAAATATTATAATAATATACCAAAGGACAATAAATGCATTTTTGAAATTGCAATTTGGGTATTGCATGATATTATTTTTTTGGAATTTTTAGATGGATTTTGAAATAAAATAAAAATTTTTTGTAATAAACAACATAATTTTTTTTAAAGTTATTAGTGCATCTTATAACAAAAAAAAAATTGAAAAAATAGTCATAATATATTAATTATGAATACGTGCAATTTTTTTTGCATTTGATTTATTGCGTGGGGTTATGTCTCTGTTTAAAAATTTTATGAAATAAAAAATTCTTGTAATAACAAAAAACAAAACAATGTTTTTTTCCCAAATAAAGTGCATGTTCTTCATGTTGATTGTGCAAAAACTGAAAATTACATTTTTTTTAAATTTTATTTATGAGAATCATGGCCAGTCCATCTCTTTCAAGATATTTATCAATAAATTTTGTAAAAGTTGTTTCCATTTCACTAACTAGTGACATAAAAGCTGATGGATTGTCAGCTGAACTAAGAAATAGTACATCTGCACACCTATGACATAATTGAACCTTTTGAATAAGCCATCCAGCCATGTGTAAAAGGGCTTGATCCTTTGGTTGCATTAAAATTTTTCCAGTAAACATATAAATGACCCTGGACGAAAATAAGATATTCCTTTAGGTATGTTATTTTCTGTTTCATAAATTCCACAATTAGTGGTTGCTTGATTACAACACTTCATAAAATTATTTAGATTAAAAGCTGTCTCAAAATCCTTTATACAGTTGCTAATATATTATTTACATTTTTCTACAGATAAAAGTAGTAAAGCATTTCTATAAGCAGCTCGAAATTGTCTAACATTTGGACAGTCATTCCAACCACCTTTGCTTCGAATAATGGAAAAAAAATTCTCAATGCAGTCCTGATTAAAACGAGAAGTACAAACAAATTGAAAACCTTCAGAAAATAGCTCTCTGCTTAAGGTTAGAACACTATTAATTGTGACACTTAAACCCCAATGACATAATATACTTGCTTGACTTCTAACATTACAAAATTTCCATTTCTCAATCCAATGCTTTAACTCTTCCAACTGAGAAATAATGGCTCCTTTTAAAGTTAGAGCAAAATGAGCTGGTTTATCTACATATAATTTATATGAATTCAATATATCAAATAAAGTATCCATGCGTTCAATAAATCTTGCTGTTGGTAATACACTTAAAGGAAGTAAATTTGTATTAGAGCAGTAATACAATGTAGAAGCAACCTGATAACTTAAAACTTGAGTAGCAAGTTTGACCTTCATAGATAAAAGAGGACCAGGGTCTAAGTGTCTATCTGTTAGTTTTGGGGCTAGACACACAGAGTTTATTTTGTCTAAATTGTAAAGAGACTGGATGTGTTGCCAAGAAACTATTTCATCATTAATGTCAATGTTATGTCTTCGCAAATTGTTTCTGATACTTTTTACTAAATGCGGAGGATCAAAAATAACATGAATAATTTTTATTATTGGAAGGATTAGGAAAATATGGCAAATTTTTGGAAAACCCAAGCAAACGTAAGGCAGCTATATTAGTAGATCCTTGATCACAAACTACACATCTAATGTGTAAACCAGTTTCTTGAACCTTAGAAATGGTTTCACGTAGTAAAGAAGCCAAGTCAGCTGTTGCTACTGTTAAATTATTATAAAAATAAGCTACTTTTAAAATATTTTTTGTTTGGATTTTAAATGTCGAATTTGTTTTCTAAATAACTATCTGAATTAACAGGTAAAAAACAACTTGCTTTTTCGCTGGAACTGAATGACGTTCAACTGGTGGTTTCCTTTTGCAACCAAGAAGTGGAGGAGAATTTAGGATGTTAAAAATAGTAGGAATTGCTGATTGTAACAAACATTTTCCACCATTATTTGTAGAATAATACATTGTATTTTCAAAATGATTACTGCACAAATAAAAGTTTTTGTTTAAAAATAAAAAATCTTTTTTGTCTAAATCTTTCCTCGACAGTTGATGACCCACTGTTTACATCTAAAAATTAAACAATAAAAGAATGTTTTAAAATACTAAAACAACAATTTTATCAATTTTTTATGAAAGAAAAGTTTTTATAAATAATATATGAATTAGCTTGCCTTTTTTCGTCTTTAAGAAAATGAAAAAATAAAATATCTTTACAGTTTTTTCCACTCTTATCTCCACAGTTTATAGCAGCACAAAATGATGGCATTGTTATAACTAAGATAAAAATTCTTTTAAGTACATACAAAAATAACTATTCGCTACTTAATATAAAATTCTGAGGTCCGGCAGGACATCCCAGACTGCTTTGCGATAAAATTACAACGAGTTATATGAAATTATGCCTGACTGATTAAGCTTTGCATACAACCTTTAACTTTTTAAGTCTTCTGTTTCTCTTTTCAAGCCTTCCGTTTCTCTGCTCTACAACTCTATTTATTTGTAACTTCCAACTTTTGGTTGCTTGTAGCCTTGTCGGGAGTGAATAAGAATATTAAAAAAAAAAAAAGAAAAAAAAAAAAAAAAGAAATGGAGACCAATATTAGATAAAAGGAAAAAAAGTTCTAAGAAGTGCATTATGTTAGGAGGTATGTGGACAAGATGAAAGTCAACTTTTTTCTTAAAATTTAGTTTCTGTGTTTAAAAAATGTGAACAATGCCACTGAACAGAAATGCAGTTCTTTTTTGTATACCATTTCCTGGAGAACTTGATTTTTTAGTAATTGTAAAAAAATATATATATCCGATTCCGTAGTTAATATGTTCAAGTCTATGAGGTTTGGCAAAGATGTAGAAACAAGTTGTAGACCTAAATGCTATTAACTCAATTTTGAACAAGAAAAAAGTGTCGCATGAAGATATAAATAATTATAATACTATCAATAAATCTGAAACTTAAAAACACAAGAGACTTAACAATAGCCAAACGATAACCAAAAAAAAAGATAACCAAAACTATAACAAACAATGGCTAAACATAAAGAAACCTTGTCAAAAGTCAAGTTAGTGCACTAGTAAACTGATTTAATAGTGGATATTGCTTAAACATTTTGTTTGCAAAAATTCTTATAAAGATCAAGTAACAAAGATTCTTATATATATTTTTTCATTCTTATACATAATCTTACACTATTATATATATTTTACATTTTTATTTATAACAATAAATTTATTTTGTAGTAATTTTAGATTTTGTATATAAAGACAATTCAGTTGTTAATATAAAAATTTATTTCCATTTTTAACTATCATCTATTTGTAGTTAATTAACTCAAAATATTTTGAGATATAATTATTAATTAAAACACTTATTAATGTAAAATGCGATAAAACTCTAAAATGCGATTTGATCTAATCTTTAACAAACATATTTTGTTTGTGTAAAGTAATCCTATCACAGGGTTTTTTTTGTAGTAACCCCTGTAATGGGGTTGCTTT